ACTTCGTAATATATTTCTACCTTGGAATAAGTTGGTGAGCAAGAAACCACTATCCTTACTAACTCTACGTGCTTCTTTGGGTCCAGTTAGCTATGTTCAGCTTTTCAGATCCAATGGGAGTAGGAAAGGCAAAGAACGGCATGGTGCCAAAGATTTGTTCTGGATTCCAATGGCAGATGATTCTGCCCGTCCGAGGGTCCCAAGCACTGGTGCTAGAATAATGAAAGCGGTCTGACAGTCTTTTGAGGCATGGAGTCAGGCAGTCAGAGGATGTCAAAATTTTTTATTTGTACAGTAGTGCCTTGGTTCACAACTTAATTCTTCCCATAATTCTGGTCACGAACAAAATCAAATTCAATGGTTAGAGTTGACCTTATGGGGAAATTTGATTTGGCTGGTAACCAATTCATTTTAGGGCCACAATGGTGGGAAGAATTAAGTTCGTGAACTGAGGTACCACTCATCTCTAGCCATCTTCTAGGTGATCACAAAAATATTTGTCATTATGTAAAAGTAATGTTAATTACACTCTTCTGGCTGATTTTCATAGTACAGTAACAAACATCAAACTTAAATAACCTTTCGTTATAAGCTGCAACACTAGTATGGTTCATATGACAGGTTTACTTTATCAATTAAAACAGTAGCAGTATTAACAGCTAGGAGGAATAGTAGAAATATGCAATAAATACTGGTTGCATATATTGATAAATTCTGTGTTTATTTAAAGTGGTAAGTGTCACACCAAGCACTCTATATGTAAATCAGGGGTTATCTTTATTTTATTTGGAGGTAGCAGTACAGACCTCACTGAAATTTTACTGTGAGGATGCCTTAAAGAGTGCTTTACACTGTCTATAATAGAGCCTCGCTATTTCTCTCTATACAATAAATCTCTGGATTCTCCCTTCCTATACTAGGTACATATTAGTTATTCTTCAGCTTCCTGAATTATAGCTTTATTTTGATCATTGGCAGTAATTACTATTAATTGATCTGTTGCTTAAAATTGCATCTACAAAACAATTATTGGAAACACTCCTACAAAATGAGACCTTATAGTATCAAACAGAATGAGCTTAAATAACACCTCTTTCCCGGACAGCTGTGTCCTTACACAGAAATACACTTCAAGAACAACAGTGACACAGAAATACAGGGATAAATTTCTACTATGAAATCACACAGTCAGTCTTCAGAATGGCTAAGATAGGGCACTGTAAAATTAAAAAAGGGAAAGGGGAAGGTTGCATCACAAAATGATACTTTCAACTTAATCTACTTAGCCCGATGGCAAGTGACTCCAGAATACATTCACAGGGTCTGCTTGTATAGATACAAGCATTCGTGTACATTCTTCCCACTGATAGTCACAGAATCACATACACATTCTGATAGCCACAGATACCAAACTACATGCCCATACATACTATATTCAAAAATAAATGTAGTCTTCAAACCTTGAGCAACATATGCACACTTAAGATATATATGTAGATTTATATTTGATACAATAGGCCTATACACCATTAACAATACCAACGTAAAGTATTCTTCATTTATTTGTAAAATCTTACAAATATTTTGTATGCATAAAGAAATCTTTTCTTAATCTTAAAAGGCATGTGGCAAAGTTGAAGTTGAGGAATTTGAACTTCACAGATTTTTAAGGTCATTTGATTCTGTTAACAATATAGTAACTATCAACTTTTAATATTTTCAAGACCATATTATAAAAATCTAAGTCAAATTACTTCTATGTTTACCTGCCTTATGAATGTAATTTTAATAAAGAATAAGTAAACATTTATAAAGTCCTCATTCATTACACTGCATACTTAACACAGTAAGAGATCACTTCATACCCACTAGAATGGCTATTAAAAACAAAGATGAGAAGAATAGAAAATGACAAGTGTTAGCAAAGAGGCTGAAAAATTAGAATTCCTGTAACTTGCTGGTAGGGATGTAAAATGTGCAGCCCTATATGGAAAATGATACAGTGGTTTTTATCATCACATGATTCGGTAAGTATCCCAACGAATGGAAACGTGAAGTGAAAGATGCCAGACATGGAAGGGCACATATAATTCCACTTTTTGAAATATCTAAAAGACAAATTCACAGACACAAGAAGCAAAGTAGTTGTTGCCAGTGGCCAAGAGGGGAAAATGGGAAGTTGTAGTGCTTAATAGGGCTTTCTAGGAGCAATGGAAATATTTTGAAACTTGATAGTTGTTATGTGTACAACACAGGATGTACTAAATGCTAATGAGTTGTTTACTTCAAATATAGCACATGTAGCTGGGCATGATGGCAAATACTTGTAATCCCAGCACTCGGGACACTGAGGCAAACAGATTGCCACAAGTTCAAGGCCAACCTGGACTATACAGTGAGACCCTGTCTCAAGAAACAAAAACAAAAACACCCCAAAATGACACATGTAAAAAGCAGAACTTAACTCTGGATTTAAAAAATTGACTGAAAGTTCAAATATTTTCTCATTTTTGATACATATGCATACACATAATGAAGAGTATGTATTAAATAAGTCTAAAAAAACAATCATCCTCTCAAATCTATCATAGTTATCATACAGTTTTTAGTATGTTACCAAGTCACAAAAACCTGACAAAAGGTTTTCTTGATTAATTTATTTTGAGTTACACAAAGTATTCTTTGGAAAAGACAGGATGAGAAAAGTCTCAACCTTCATCTGTGAAACTTTGAAGTCACTTGATATAAGTGGTTAAAAAAAAAAAAAGTCAAATTTAACCGTAACTCAATAATACTAAATAAAACTTGAAGTACCAGATGTCACTATGCCCAAACCTTTTAGAAATCACGTTAAATAATTCCAGTAAACAGTTACACTGTGTAGACAATGAACATATACCTACAGTACAAAAGAAAACACAACCTGTGGGTGGGTATTTATAGACTTTTAGTGATGTCCTCAAAATTAATGAGTGCCTGACACCAAAAATTTGATGACGTGTTCTAAAAATTTGTTCAAAAGTAGTTTTATGGATTACAAAGACATGGATGTAAAAGATATAAATAAAAGCACTAAAAATTGAGATATTAAGAAAGTAGATTTCTTCAATTAATATGTAATCTTATTCCTAAATTAGTATATAATCTTTCATAATACATAATTTTAAATAAATTCAAGTTATCAAATCCATTTGAGATCTTAAAAATTGAAGATAATTTTATATTTAAAGATTATCACTATATGCGTCAGTGAAGCAATTTTGTTAAAAAGTGATTGCATGCCAATAGTAGCTAATTTGGAGTTGTGTTTTTTAATTATCTCTGCATTTTTATGTTTTCAACATTTCCTCTCTCTACACACAAACCTTGATTAAAACAAAAGCAGTAAGAATTTAAAGATAAAGCTTGTTTTCATAAAAAGTTTAAAACTTACATGGCATAGGATTATATAATTTTTACTCTGAAAGAGGTCAACAGTCTTTCAGTTTAGCCCTCAAATCAGAGTAAACTTATCTCTGATAATCTAGTATTATCTAGCTTTCTTCCAAACACTTCTATACACAGATCAGCATTTTGAAAACAACTCATTCTACTGTTAATTGAAAATCTCAGCTTTAACCTATCAGTATAGTACTTTAATTCAATTTCTGTAACAAACACTTAGGTTTTTATAGGAAGTCCAAATATGTACAGCTGAATTGCTACCACCATTTTCAATTTTGTAATCTGGAGAAAGAACATTTGGTTACTCTTTTTTGTAAGACTGTTCTGTTCTTGAGGTATTTACAGCAGCTATCAAAAGTATCTTAATCTCTCCTTTTCTAGCTATACCTTCAATTCTGCTTTTCTATATCCCTTACCTAAAATTTGCTATTATTCTTAAATGAGGTACAAGGGGCCCCAAACAACATTCCAAAACGGTTTCCGTTTTAAATAGTCAGAATAAACAGTTCCAGAATGTCAGACATTCTCTTTTTGAAATGTAATTTAAGACTACATTGCATTGCTAGTAGTTACTACTGACAGCTTAAGTTTATACTCAACTAAACTATACAAGTTTATTTTGCTATTAACTCAAGTCGTTCATATCTACTGTGTGGCCATGAAATATCCCACATTCAATTTTAGAAAAGGTTATGGGGGAAAATGCTCAAAACAGAATGTAAAATAATGTAATTAGAATGAACAGCGTGTCTCTTTCTTGGTCCCAAGTCTCTCCTACTACTTTCTACATTTTCTAGTCTTACTAAGCTTACATCATAATCAACATATCCATGATTTATTTATTTCATCTGCAGTAAGTTACAAACTTTCTAGGCTCAGTTATAGAAGAAAATCACATCATCAGGGTATATGATTTAATCACTTGGATTCCTAACAGGCAGAAAAGCAAAGTAAATTCACAAATGAAGACACTGATCATTCCTAAGATTTTAGGAAGCCACCAATGAACACACAAACTTCAAGTTTTCTTTTTGGTGTTTCTTCAGCAACTGCAGCTGTACAAAGTCCCAGAGGGGATGGGAATTTCTCTCTTTGCAGTTCTTACATATGTTCTGAAGGTTTAAAGACTAGCTCTTACTCTGTTTATAACTGGATATGTATAAATACAGCCACCAACTTATTTCTAGATTTCAGAAACGATGTAAATCCTTGTGAACCAAGAAATCCTAGTATTTTAAGTTTCAGTTTCAAGGATTAAGGTTAAATTGCGTATTACTATAGTCTTAGTGATAAACCTCATGCATCTAAATTTTTGCTGTGCCAAAAATTATTATAATCTGCAAAAAATCAGAAACTGTATGTATTTGAAAAATCGTATCTGCCAGTATTTTCTTTAAGACTATTCAAGACTGGCCTAATACTTTAGTGGGTGTTTCCTGCCTCCTAAAGTACTGTTAAAATTGTTGTCTTCTACAAATTTTCACTAACAGTGCGTCAGAGCACATTCAATGTGTAAGTTTTTAGACATGGTAGAAAAGCTAAATGTTTGAAATTACCTTGAGTGGTAAAGTTGAAGAGTGCAGGTGTGTCTCGCCCATTTGGTAACTTGACATTTGGGTCCCGTAATTCATCGAAAAATGAATGTGCACAAGCTTCCAGTGGTGTCAGTCGGGCAGTTGGTGTATACTCCAGCAGACGGCTACACAGTGCAATTGCCTCTGGGGGAGTTCTGGGTCGGAAGACCTTAAGTACAAGGAAAGGGAAAGAACATTAATGTTTTATCATAAAAACCTAAGCAAATAGCCCTGTGAATACTCTGTTAATCCCCATCATGGATAGAAACATGGTATATGTGGGAAAGGAGCCTTCTAGAATGAAAAGAGTTAACTGCATGTGATTCACCACACTGGGGTAAGTTGCTAATTAACGACTACGCGAGAAATGCTTAGAGAAAACTACACATGCTAATCATAAAGCAGTACATTCAAGCATGCATTTAAAAGACGACAGGCACATGACAAAGGCTTAAGTCTGGAGGCAACCTCAACTAGAATATGAAGTTAATTAAAGCTTAGATTACTGTGGCAATAAATAAAAGATTGCCTCTCTGGCACTAATCTTAGCAGAATAACTGTTGGCAATAAATGGCACTGACCAAATCTGGCAATCAATATAAAAAAAGAAAAGAAAAACTGTTACTCTAGGTCAACAAATGCAAATGCTTCTCAATAAGCAGAGCCTACCATCAATTGAAGTTCTTGAGTGTCCTGATTGACAAAATATCAGACAGTGTTTTCTCAAGAAGCTGTTACCATGAGTATGGCCAAGTCACTCTTGTTTGAGTAAAAGTGACTAAATATTTAATGATTTTAATCAGGGAGACAGAGATGTATTTTTTATTAAGAGTCATGAGCAGAAGTGAACTGAAGGCTATGGTAAAATGTAATCAAAGAAATTTTCTTGAGGGAATAAATAGCATTCTATTCATCTGTGTCTTTAAATGAATCAATACACGTAACTATAAGAGTGTGCTTCATTCTAAATTATGCTAAAGAAGTTAAAGAAGCAGAAACAAACATAAGTAGATAGACAAAGAGTCTTAAATACTAAAGAAAAAAGAAACATATTGATAAAATAAAAGTGACAGTGGAAGTGGACAGACACATAAAGGGAAGTAGACGGACATAAGTGGAGGGGAAAGGATTTGTAAGTGAGGAAGGACAGACATGCAGACTCCGATGGGGATGAAGGACTCTGGGAAGCTGACTGGCACAATGGCCGAATGTTCTCTTAGGGTGAATGAAGGTGGGAGAACTGGGCATGTAGAATTCATCTTGAATTTAGAAGGCGAGGAGTGCTTTCTATAAAAACTGAAAATTAAAAAAATCCTATAGCTCATTACTGAAAAAGATTATTTTCCTGGAAACTGGGTTGAATAGGATCTTAATATATTTCAGAACCTAATGATCTCAGTGGATTTATTAGCTATATTAGAAAGCCCTTTGTAAGATCAAAAACTTGTCTTTAGGCTTTTGAATAATCTTAGTTGAGGAAATTTTAGAATGCTTGGATCTTCCTGATCATTTCCTCCTCTCTTGCTTAAGGTCTGTGATCAAATTCAGAATGCAAAAACAAAAAGTCAGTGGAAAGCTAAGAAAATTTATCATAAAAACATTAAATGCGGGCTGGGGGTTTAGCTCAGTGGCATAAATGCCTGCTTGGCAAACACAGGTCATGAGTTCAATCCCCAGTACCAAAAACCCTCAAAAAAAACCAATAAATGCTACTACTGTTTTATTCCTGCATCTACCTGACATTATATGAATTTACTTGCTAGCTTATCCAATATCCTTAAGCACCAATAATAGCATAATATAAGTAGGATTAAAAATCGTATCACATTAAAAATGAGTATTTCTTCAAATAGTTCCAATGTAGGATTAGCTATGTGGTTGAGTTATTTTATAGAAAAAGCTTCATATTAAGGAAGTTTTTTTTTGTTAAAGGTATTAATAAACCAGTGTTGTAAGTTTATTTCTGACAATCTTTTTTCTGTGTCTTTTCAAAATATTTTACTGACTATAATCATCCTGCCTGGTACTAAGATATGTATTTGTGTATTTTGTCAGAAATCCTAACTCAAGAAGTCAGATTTGAAAGCCATAAAGAAAAGAACTAATTTCAAGAATTTACAATAACCTCAGGATATAATCTGCCTTTAAAAATAGTATTTGAACCGTAAATCTTCTTGATGAGAAAAGCTTTGGTTCAGTAATTTGTGGAGAAAGGTTAAATGGAACATTCAGTGGAGTTAAAATCCAACATCTTCCAGAGTTTAGATTTCTGACAACAACACAGGGTGTGGTCACATGCAATTTCTAAAAATCACAGTCCAAATCAGAAACTAACTTTCTTAATTACTTTTGTATCTAAAGAGAAGCAACTCAACAACTACTGAAATATAGGTTTCAGCAAAGAAGCTTCTGTTGCCACATCATTTCTTGCTCACTGTAATTGCTTAATATCCAGAGTGTTTGGTTTCATAGATCTTCATCAATATTTTATTCTTGTTAAGAGTAACAGATTAAAAACTCCACAATTCCTAAACCTCGACCCTAGAAGTCAAGGATCACCTAGGAGCCTGACAATCTAAATATACCCTAAAAAACCTATACCATAAAATTAATGAAAACAGAAACCACAGCTGCCTACATTGTTTTTACAACTGTATTTCAAGAATTATTTAAATTATCACAAAATGTTTCCCCCCAGTTTTATAGACCTGCCCTAAAATTTTGGGAAAAAAAATTAAGTACATACCCGCACTCCTGAGGTGAAATGTCCTGTTCCTGACGAATCCTAAAGATGATAATGCAGTGAAATAATCCAAACAGGGGAAGTCAATCCAAAAGAGAATAGTCCAGCAAGGAAAAATATATCCAATGTTATAAGAAATCCATGGTGTAGGGGGACATAGAAAATGTTTATACAATTATAAACTTTAAACATCAGTAGCAAGTCCAAAATTTAAAAATTATTTCACCACAGTGTATGCAAAAATTTTTTGATTGTGCAATGGTGAGGCACAGTAAAGAAACATTTTAATTTGTTTATTATGTTCCAATGCCAGTGTGTTTATTAAAAAAATACAAAACCAAAAAAAGTTAAATCAAAATGAAATCTAGAAGGAAAGTTCCCAAAGTAAAGTGGTCTTTTGTGACCTGGGAGGGGGCATGTTAGCCTGCTTTTAAAGACGTAGGTTCCCAGCCATATTAATTTTTCACAATTAATATGTCCCAGTTACATAGTAAAAAGGTTTTTTGCTAAATTATTAGTGATGAGAGAAACATATCAAATATATTTAATTTATATTACTATAGATTCCAAGCTAGATATTTTCAATTTGTGTGAGCTAAGAATGATTAGGCCACCGCGGATTATTCTCCATTTTGGATTGACTTCCCTGCTAAAAGATGTTTATTTGCTGACATTCTCATTATCTTAGGACTCTTCAGGAAACTGACATATCACATCATGAGTGCGGGTATAAACTTACTTTTTCTATGTGGGCTTTACCCCCTCATACCCTTGCACCCATTACTGAAGAAAAATATAGAACATTTTTTCTTTTTTGGAAAAATTCACTGAAAAAATTCTACATTTTTTTAGCACTACAAATTCAACACAGTTGCATCTGCAAATATGCCCAATTCACCCACCAAAAGCTAAACAAAAATGTATACAATAAACAATACAATTAAGGGACAGTCACAGTTACAGGTGACATGCATAGTAATGTACACCAACACCTAGGCACAACGGAGCCAAATATACAAGGGAGGCAGGAGGGTCTATTATGTCTAGGTATTGAGAACAAAAAACAAAAGGCAGAACTCACCAGTAGCTGTGAATTCCCTTGGCTATTCTAAGAGAATGTAACATTCTTTAGGATAGTTTCCAGTGGGAGAATTAAATATTTTGCAAAAATAAATAATCCGCGGATTATTTTTAGTCTGCAAACTAAGATTTAGTATACGGATTAAAATCCAGCCCATAAGAATAAAAATTCTCACAGCACAACCAGGTGGACAAAATAGAAAACCACACTAAAAGACCTGACAGCAGAAAGTAAAATTCAACTGGGCCAACTAACAATTAGTGCGCAGACTAAATATGGCCAGCCAAATATGCAGCAAGGCCATGGAGATTCCAAAAACCCCTTTAAAAAACTAAAAGAAAAGGGCAAAAGAAAAAGAAAAAGAAAAAAGAAAAAAAGGAAAGAAAGAAAATATAGAAAGGAAAAACTGAAAAGAACCAAAACACTGACATGAACTTTTAAAGTGATTTTAACTACTACCTCACCTATGCAACAACATATTTTCTTAAATTGAAACATCAGCTCTCATCACAATGCTACGTCATAGAAGAAAACCACAGAAAAATTCATTTTTTATATCAAAAAGAAAGTCTATGGTATCAAACAAATGCAAACAATTACTCAAAGTAAATCTGCATTTGCATAACCCAAAAATGACATACCTAATGTTCTTCCTATATGACCTAGACAGACTTTGACCATCAAAGTTTAAATTGGAGCTGTTGAGACTGAATCTCAGCCCATTAAAAAAGTGGCTGTTTAACAAAAATCTTATACACTGTATCAATCCTATAGTTAAGGTACTTCTCAACTATCACAACTCTGCTATATTACGCAGCCAAGCAGAGCAGTATAAAAGCTGACAATATATTATGGCTAAAGATAGAGAACACAGAACAAGTGTTGTGATGGTTCCAAACAGTTACTCTTCACTAATTTTCATAATAAATTAGAACACTGACAGTGTGCTCTGGTCATATACAAAATATAAGCCTCCAGTATAAGAAATGAATAAACCATTGATATTCCTAAAGTGCAATCCTACACTTGCTCTCAAGTAACCTATTAATCATCTAAAATGACACAGTGTCACAGAACTGTCAAACAGTTGAATGTTAAATAAAAGAAACTAAATATATCAAACTGCTTATATCCAGCCTATAAATCAATAATTAACTGGTCTACACTATTTTAAAAACATTTTTGGAGTGTTTTAATGTTGATTCAATGCAGTGACATGAGGTAACAACTCATTTTAATACTATCAAAAAAATTTCCAGCAGCTACTGAAAACTGACTTTTACAGAGTATATGAGCCAAGTGAAACAGCTATGCTTGAAGTTAGCATCTAATGAAGTAGATACAAAACTGAATACAGTGCAAGTCTACTCAAGAGATACACTTTTCTAACCTTTGAACAGTTTTACATTTACAAAAGGCTGGGTAAATGAATCACAAAGAACACTGTACTCTTAGCCATGACAGAGCATTCAATGAATTTCAGTTGCACAAATTCAAAAGTTAGTTGTGCCAAGTTCTATCACATATAAGAGAATTATACGTAGGTATTAGTATTTAGCTACGCAATGTGATTTGTGCTAAATCATTCACTGATGAAACAGTACTATGGGCCTACAAATTACATGTAATTTACCAAATAACATTCACTTAACAAATGTCAACCTCTTACTGTTCACAAAATAGTTCTGTAGTAAGGCTGCCCTTCCCAAGAATACATGAATACAGTATTTCTTTCTCATTCATGTCTTCCCATTGAAGCAATACATAACTAGGCTATAATTCCTAACCTTTTCTCTATCTTTTAAAATTCTAATTCTTCTTCAACAGCCTACCTCCTCTATCATCTTTAAGGAAACTTCCTTTTTTCCTTCAACATTTTCACTAAAGATCTGTTTTGTAACCTATAAGAATGTGGAAAATCTCTGAACTGCTACAGTACATTATCAAGCACTAATAAAGTACTTTAGTCAATACTTGCATCTATGGAGCTTTTCAAGGGCAAGAACTTTACTTCTTTTGTATACTTCACAATACCTAGCAGAGTACTGGTTACACAGAACAAATAAGATTTAAAGAACAGATAATAAACTAGATTTTTGCCTTACTTTTCAATTTACTCCAACCCCATCTCTATTCTACATAAACAATCTTTAGAGGAAGTCCATTCACATAGGAAAATGGATATTACAAAAAGGGAGGATGTGATTGTTCTAGCACTATTAAAGATGTAGGCAAAATTTCAGGAGAGAACATACTATAGGTATTCATGAGATAATGGGTGAGTAGTGTCCAAGGCAGAAGTCTGAATAATTACATAGACATTTATCATTTATCGTAAGTAGCACAACAAAATAGGTGAAGTGGCATTCTTAGGAGCCAACAGAAATCTCCAATACGGTTTTACGTTTTTTGGAATCTATGTGAATAAAAGAAACCAAAACACATAGATACAGAAGACATACTAAGAAAGCTTGACAGCAATCTTTGTTTTGTGCTTTCCAGGCCTCTCAATAGGCACTTTTGGTAACTTACTGAATAACAGTCAAAACGTAAAATTTTAGGTTCTGAAAAATCTTGTATTTAAGGGGTTAGAGAAAAAAAGGAGGGGTATGAAGAAAATCTTAAAAGAAGTCTATGGGGCTGGGGATTTAGCTCAGCGGCATAAGCGCCTGCCTTGCAAGCAGGCAGTTGTGAGTTCGATCCCTGGTACGGATAAAAAGGAAAAAGACAAAAAAAAAAAAAAAAAAAAAAGTCTAAAATGATTACTATGGACCTCAGAACTCAATTTTCTGCCCATTCTGTTAGCCAGATGAGAGTATTAGTATTTATTCATATTACAGCATGTCTTCTGTGTTCTAAGAAAACAAGTATGCAAAGATTAATGTTTATAGATAGTGCTTTACGGGACCTACACGTGTAACCTACAGATCTAAAACTATACAACAAATATTTTAAGGTAATTCATACCAGTATTATGATTATGAAAGGGAAATCAGTAACTGCTATAACATAAATAGTGCCAGTTAATAGGTACTATAAGGAGTTCTATAATGGGAAAACAGTAATCATGAGGCACTTGGAGGTTAAATATTCCATTGGGGATGTAAGGCTTTAGATCTTCAGAATGGGTAAGACTTGGTGAATAGGAAACAAAAAGAGCAATCTAAGTGGGATGGGGAACAAAACAGCAAAAGATAGAAATAAATATGTCTTCCCTGGGGTCACTCAGGAAACAGTTCGATTACCTCGGAAAATTCCACATGACTGCAATGATCTTCAATATAAGCTACAAGCTGAACAATACTCATTTGTGGCTAATATATTAAGTAGCCCACCAGTGACCACAGGAAATCAGGGCCGTTTGGATTCTAACTACTTCCTTCTACAATACCAGTTATATTCCTTATGAAAGAATATGCTGACATCTGTGTTACTTAATTGATCTCACAGGATTATTTATCTGGATAAAGTGAGAATTTTGTCCTCCTGAAATTTAAACAAAAAGATAGCAAAATCAGGTACTCAAAACAAGGGAAAATATCACAACACATCTACTATAACCTTATTAGAAATTCCTAATCTATCTAGATATAAACTTTAAAAATCATTGTCCAACAATATGCATCTAAGGAGGAATTACAGCTGGAGATCGTGGGAAAGTGATTAGTTTCAAGCAATGAAATAGCCTAGAGATGTTAGCAGCAAGACAAAAATTAAAATACTATTTTTCTGGAAAGGAAAGGTGTAAAAAGAACAAGAACAGAGTGACTCTCAGGTGTGGTGGTGCATGCCTGTAATCCCAGCACTTAGGAGGTTGAGGCAAGCGGACTGTCATGAGTTTGAGGCCAGTCTGGGCTACAAAGTGAGTTCAAAGCTAGCCTGAACTGCATACTGAAACCCTGTTTCAAAAAACAAACAAATGAACAAAGAAAAACAACAACAACAAAAAAGAAGAATCAGAACATTATGAATCAAGACACAGAACCATGTTGTCATTATACGTAGTTCATGTCATATTTCCCTAAAGACTATGACAGTGTCACGTATCATTTTATTTTTATTTTTCTGAGACAGGCTCTCACCACATAATTTAGGCAGGCTTTGAATGCACAATCCTCCTGCCTCAGCCTCCTAAATGCTGGCATTACAAACATGCATCATCACACCTGCACACATTTTTAAAAAGCTAAGTTTGACAGCAAGAACAATGGACTGAAGTCATACAAAACTAAAGAGATGAAACTAGGCGGTAGCACATTGTTTTACAATTCTATTTTATGACAGTGTCCTAAACTAAAGTTAGAGCAACAGGGACAGAAAAAAAAAGGAAAAATCAGAGAATTATGCTGAGGCAGAACTTTCACATTTACTTAGAATTAAAATAAAGTAGTTTTTAAATAAGCATTTCTGCATTTTCAAAAGTGTCTGAAGAAAAGTTATGGCAGATAATCACTATCTTACAAAAGAAAGAAGCCGAGGCATAAACACCAGGACCAGTAGGTTTCTCTCTCTTCATTTCTCATAGCCTGTCACCTAACCCTGCCTTCATGTTTTAACTGCAGAATAAGCTTTTTACCTCTTCATCTCCAGCTCTACTGCATTCTCAGTCTAGGTTTACATCACTTCCTCACACTTTCAATTTGGTTTTCTTCTTTGAAGTGTACAACATACACCAATGTAGAAGGCCTATGTTCTCCCACACCCAGTAGTGGTCCCCGTTCAAAACCATGATCCCCTGTTTCTTTGCCCACTGAAGCCACAAGTGCTCTGTTAATGGATTAGGTAGCACTAGCTATTATGGGCCAGTCAAGGGTAACTTAATGGATCCTGTCACACACCATTCTGGGATCATCTTAGTGCTTCTGTTTTCCTTTATCTTTGCCACACAGCTGTATCTTGTTACTTACTATGTACTTTCACGTAAGACTTTTTCTCCTTTAATTTTATTTCTAACTACTTTTTTGAAAATCAAACTGCCAATACTAGGATCTAGTTGCGTTATACAGTGGCTGAAGAAATCAGGGCTCACATTCACATGCCTACAGCTTTGGGAAATGGAAGACAGCAAAAAGAAAGAAAAAGAAAAAGAAAAAAAAAGAAAGGAGAGAGAGAGAGAGAGAAAAGGATTGTTCTTGTTTTTTGACTCCTACTTTCCAGATGCTAATGGCAAGATGCTCTCGTCTTTACAGAATATTATGTATGTTTTTAAAAACCATTCCACTGGCTGCCCAGCATAAGAAAGCATTTCTCAAGTGGCTGTCTACCATTATAATGGGGGAAGGCAAGGAGACACAACTGAACCACCTCTAGGAATCTTAAGTTTTCTATTTTTATAATAATATATTAAAAATCAATACAAGCATATTTTGATCATCTAACTGACCAAATGGAACTATGGAATTTCTGCACACCACTTGAATCTGTGCATACTGAGAAATTAACACAAATGAATGAAATGAAAACCAAATTACATCAAAGGACACTTGCATATAAATGAAGTGTTCACAGTAATTTTAACAGAAAGGGTAGAACTAAATCATTATTCTACACATAGTATAGGAATGAAAATGTAAGTAAAGGGTCTTTATACAAATTATTTATTTGAATAATAGATTATAGAAACAGCGGAAACTCAAGGTAAAGAAAAACTTAAAGCATACAAATTCATTACAGCTGTTCTGCTGGCTGAATTTTAACCAATCATTTTTCACATTCCACTCTGGTTAATACTTCCAGTATCAGGAGCTAACCCACAGGAAAAATGCCAAATACGACAGACACTAATGTTGATGGCAAGGTTGGTTTTTAAAAAATGAGGATGGGGACTGTTATCCAGGAGTTCATGATCTTGAGATCAATCAATCATTCATATATATCTATGGAGGATAACATCTGAAGAATACTTTGATTACACCAGAAAAAAGGTGCTTTTCTTGTCTCCTTCCTTCATAAAATAATATTAAACTATAGAAATATAGATAGGCAAGACAAAGAAAATAAATCTTATTCAAGCATTTTATTTACTCTTCTTATTTGGGATATTTCCTTATTTATTCATTGTACAGAATTCTGTGTTATTTTCTCCCTAATGTGGTTGAAATCACAGTATACTATAAATCACTTATTTTAACACTTTTAACTTGTAATAGCTTTAATGGATTCAAACTAAACCCAAAATAAGCTACCTGCGATTCTCTGGGTTAGAGCCAAATGAGAAACTCTAAGTATATCTTCTGACTCAGATTCAAAACTAACCTGAAGTACAAAAATCCAAGAATACTTCATTGAAGACCATTTAGTGTTTATCATAAATTTTTAAAAGAAAGAGGAGAATATAGTGATCTCTTGGCCAAGGAAGACCTATAATTCTGGCACTAAAACACTGAGGTTTTTGTTTCAAAAGGAAACAGTAATTAGTAATGTGATTTTCTGAAGAGAGGTAATGAGTCTATGGTAAGTACTTCAAGGAAACTAACAGTGAAGTGGGAGCAGGCATATTTTTGATTCTAGCAAACGTAAATTAGTTCATCTAAAGCCATAACTTACTTTATTGCTTATTATAAATGATGTGAAACCAACCAAATGAACTTCTTGATGCCCAGAACAAACTGTTACATGGACATTTAAAATATAGAATATTTCTGAATATTATTACAAAGTTGATCATTCTAAGCCACAAAAAATATATAAGGCTATATAAACAGTGCATGGCACATGACTGTAAGTTTAAAAGATTCACTATTAAACACATGTACAAGGTTACTAAAGAGAAATGTGATCCTGTCACAAGCCACCTACGTAATCTTGGACAATCTTTTGTTTTCTCTGTACTCTCAAATCATAAAATTGATGAGTTAAGCTGATTTGAAAAAATTTTCAAATAAATTATTTTCTAAAAACATTTTAATTAAGTACCAAAACAGAAAATTATCTTCAGATAAATCAGTAACTGTGCTCTTTAGAACTGGTTCCATCTAATGTTAAGATCAGCCTTTTCCAATGGCTAATGATATCTTATAAACGTATCATTGGTTTCCATATATACTCGCCCCAAAATTCTGTTTTTGAATACTGCTCTCAAAATACAAATAGGAAAGAAAGCAGGGAAAGAAAAATACACATAATAAACTTGTATGTAAATAAACTTTTGAACTTTAGGTTGTCAAAATTTATATATAAGATCCCGCTCCAACATTTTAATGATACTGGTACCTTACCATGCAAGCAAATGAAAGCCCAGGCTGGAAACTTCACAGGAATTTAGTAAGAACAAAACTATACAGAGTCAATGCAGTACTGAAAGTACAACTACGTGATTCTCTTTACAAGCAACTTTACATCGAATTTATCCTGGTCTCCAAATAGTTTAAGTACAATGAGGAAACTCAACTTTTAGTTGTTGTGCTTCATTAAAAACCTCATTTTCACTCACCTTTGTCCAAGGATGTGCCTTAATTTGAGGGAATTTGAATTCTGTGTAGTTTGGGTTCATTTCTCTAATTTGCTCCCTTGTTGGTGTTCCAAGGACCTAGACCAACAAAAAAAATCACATAGTGCAATCTTTTTCCAATACTTTCACATACACAGTCTCAATGTATTGATCACTCCACTGCCTCGAGAGCTGCACTGTGCAATGGACAACGTAAAGTACATGGACCTGGTGGTATAAGACAGACTCCAAGAAGAAACCTTTAATAATGCAAGTGAGCACTTTGAAGAACCTCTATGACCTAGTATAAAGCTAGTATAAAGAAATGAAATATTGCACCATTTATAATTAAAGGACAATTGTATAGAAGAAGAGTAACACAATAACAAATCCTTTGTCATGGCAACCAGTGAATACTCAGGATAATTTTATAACTACTCTGGGCAGTATGAGAACTTTCATGCTTTTGGTTGGTTCTAATCCTCTCCACTCCATTACACCTTTGAGAACTTCATCAATATCTTAGTTTGTTCTTCAAAAGATACTCAAGAAAATGTAAAGAAATATAAACCAGAGACTAAGAAAAACATTTGAAATCATATTCTGCAAGATGTTTAGAATACATGGACAGCACTAGTGGATGTTATATAAGTTAGGCATAGAAAGGTTAGGTTCTGCACATTTTTACTTAATGTGGAAACTAAAACACTGATTTCAAAGGAAGTCAGGAAGAGAATAGTGATTATCAGACCCTTGGCAAGGGTGTGGGGTATAGGAACAATAGAGAGAGATAGGTACAGGTGTATAGTTGATAGGGAGGAGTTCTAAAGTTTTGTACTGCAGTAGTATTAACCACGGCTGATGATTATTTCAAAATAGCTAACAAAGAAGATACTGAATACAGTAAACACAAAGAAAGGATGTAAGCCTCAAATGATAGACCAATAACTATAATGATTATCCACTGCATACTTTTATCAAAATGCTACAATGTATCCCATAATGTACAACTACTATGTGTCAACCAAAAAGACAATAACCCAATTAAAAAATATACATACACACTATGCTGAAGACAATATATAAACAGTAAATATACACATACAAAGCTTTTCAATACCATTAATTATTAGAGAAACCTCAGTTAAGTCTATAAGATATCACTACAGGGTATCCTACAGACAAATAGCAAGGCTAAAATTAAAGGCTTTTTAGGGGCAAATGAGTTAGGAGATGGTATCAAAGGTGTGATTATGGGATTTGGTTGGAGGGCAAACAATTAAGTTTGTAATTTCACCAGCTATGAAAAATGTTTAGGGTATTAGGCACAAAACAAGACCTGGAGAGAACAGTATTTCAGTTAAGGAACTGAGGAAGAACCAGAAAGAGCTCTCCACCTACTGGTGGACAGTAGTACCTGCCCTACTGCAACAGGTAGCTGCCAAAGTGTTTCCTAACAGGCAAGGCAGGGTGCTAAAGATGGAGAACACAGACATATGGAAATAAGGACATTTAAAAACAAGGCTGAGATGCAAGTCTAATGGTTGGAAGAGGTCCCACAAACAATACATAGTCAACATTGAAAGAACAAAAGAGTAAAATGAAGTTCAAAAGTTATTCCCTGAAGCTGGCCATGAAGATTTTCTTTCTGACCTTAAAGAATTATCAATTATGAGAACAACCGCTGACTGTAATCACCTGAAATAAATTCAGTGAAGACAGCAAACTAAAATTCTTTCAAAAAGTACATGAGAGAAAAAAGTAATTTGAGCATATAGTGCATAAAAACACTATACTAGCACTATGACAATTTTCTTTCCTCATTTAAAGTTTTACAGATACTGCGTTATCCCATTTTATACATTTTTTCCCATGTGTAAATTTTTTATTGGAATTTGAAATGTTTTCAATGTGACTAGGCAAGTTTTAGACATACTGTAAGTAATATTATAGTAATTTTAATTGCAATTTTTTAAAATTCAGGGCTTAAGTTGTAAAAACTATTGTTGCTACTTTGGATGTTAATCCCTTGTTGGGTGGTTTGCAATTTTCTCTATTCTTGATTATTTACTTTGCTGTGCAGCAGCTTCCTAGGTTGAGATAATCCCAGGTATCTATTTTGGTTTTGTTGCCTGTACTTTAGGGAACTTAACCAAAAAGTCATTGCCTTACATAAATGTCTTGAAGTGTCTTTCTTAGGCTTCTTTTGGTAATTTCACAGTTGCAGGCCTTAAGATGTAGGTCTCTGACCCACAGTGCACTGGTTTTAACATATGATGAAAGATGAGAGTCTATTTCTCTCTTTGGCACACATATATTCAGTTTCCCAGCACAATTTATTAAAGATACTGTCTTCTCTCCACTGTATGTTTTTGTGACTTTGCAGATCAGCTGGCTTTAGCTGTGCAGATTTACTTCAGATGTTTATTTCAGTTAATTATTTTAGATGTATGGATTCTCTATTCTGTTCCACTAGTCCATGAGTTAATGTGGATGGCATACCATGCTGTTTGACTCACCAGAGCTCTGTAATATGTTTTGAGGCAAAGTATTGTGATACTGCTAGCTTTGTTCTTTTTTGTTTAAGATTTACCTGGCTATTCAGGGTCTTTTGTGGTTCCCTATGAATTTTCATATTTTTTTTTCTAGAAATGTTCTATTATCTTGACCAGAGTAGTCAAGTTATTGAGTTCCACACTCAAAGCTTATTAAGTTCCACACTCAAAATCGCTACATTCTAATACATGTAAACTAAATTTCTGTAACTTGATTAAAAAGGGGGAAAAAGACCAATACGTAATTTGTGTTGTTTACTATACTAAATATATACCAGATGTTTATCCTCTTTAATTGCTATTTTAGACTAGCCTTATCAGTATCAGAGTCAAAAATCAGAACTATTATTTATAATCTGCGTATTAATAAAAAAGACATAATCAGATTTCCGGGAGAACATGGTGGACAGATAGCAGCAGCTACGGAAGCTCTCTGAAAGACTCGGCTTAGAATTCAGGAATGGTGCGGAGTAAAGAGTCATAAGCAGGTGGAGATATGCTCTGCTGACCCAGGAACGAACTGGGATGAGAGAAACAAACTTGTAATGCAGTCCTGGTGCTAGAACAGGAACAGAGGGGCCTCAGTGTGGAGGCTGGAGCCCACGCCATTGGAAGCCGCGATTTGGGTTTCCAGCAGTGTGGCGGCTGCGTCTATATCGGCTCGGTAGGGAGACAGAAGCGCGGAAGCTCTGAGAACGGGAATCGGCGAACAGAGTTGAAAATAGGACGGGCAGGGAGCTGTGCGTTGACTTGCGGTGAGGTGAGTGAGAGAAACTGACACTCTCCCACAGTTTAATGAGACTCCAGCGGAAGACATTCTGGGACTGGGCAGACTTGCGGGAGCAGGGCACTGCAGCGACTTCAGCCACGTATCCCCCTCTCAAGCGGGATTGGTGAGAAGTGCCTAGCCTACGTGACGCTGCTGGCAGAGACCCAGTAGGCTAGCACAACCCAGATCCCAGAGCTTGAGGGTGGCCTGGAGGGGCAGGCCCTGCGTAGGCTGCCGGGTCTACAATTTCCTGGTGTGCTGCGGTGGGCGGGAACACCTAGCCGGCGCAATTCGATCAGGCTGTGGCTGACAGGGAGGGAAGCTGGGCCTCCTATATAAGCTTGCATATATAAGGAACAAAGATTATGGGAAGAGGCAGCAACAAGAAAGGCTCCTCGGCCCCCAATCCTGAGAAACAGGTAATAGCGGACATCGCACCAATAGACATAAAGCGCCATCTAGAGAGCCTCATAGATCAGTTCAGGAATGAAGTTATTAATGACCTGAAGCTAGAAATAAGCAGAATAGTTAGAGAAATGCTAAGCACCACCCAAGAAAAAACAAATGGTGGAATGGAAGAACAGAAAAAGAGGGGAGAATTGTTTGATGGAGAAAATAGAGAAAGCATAGAATATGTGAAGCAGGTTCAAAGAGACTACCAGGAAACTAAAAACTCTATTGAAAACTGGCATAACAGCTTGAAAGAAACTAAGGACAAACTATCTGAACTGGAGGGCAGATTTGTAATATGGGAGAATGAAATGAAAAACTTCTTAAAAGTAACAAAGAAACAAACAGCAATAATACAAAAACTAGAAGATGATAAGAGGACCCATAACTTAAGAATTAAGAACATAAAAGAAGAAGTAGGGACACAAACAAATGAGCTACAAAAGCTACTCACAGAAATAATCCAGGAGAATTTTCCTAATTTAGCAAAAGGTAAAGATACTCAGATGTATGAGGCATACAGGACCCCAGCCACCTACAACCCAAACAGAGCAACACCCAGGCATATAATAATTAAAATTCCAGAAATTCAATACAAGAACAGAATATTAAAAGCTGTCAGAGACAAGAAACAGACCACTTACAAAGGAACACCCATCAGAATTACAGCAGATTTCTCTGCACAAACCATCAAATCACGAAGAGCGTGGGGGGAAATAATTCAAGCTTTGAAAGATAATAATCTCCAGCCAAGACTGATATATCCTGTACAACTATCCCTGGAAATTGATGGAAAAACAAGGTGCTTCCAGGATAAAGAGGAACTAGGGGAATATGCAACTACCAATTCAACTCTACAGAGAATACTGCAGGATATTCTAAAAAAGAAAAATACAAAGAATCCAGAAATAGTGGCAGAGAGGCCACAATGAATGGAGCAGAAAACAAAATGAAGCAGACAAACTGACAACTAATGACAGAAAAAGAGCTCAACAGAAATGAGGCAGAGAAGATTGGATGATAGGAACAGCTATTTTGGAGAAAATGACATCTTAATAGGTAATACTGCTTTAGTATCATCTTGTTTTGAAGTCTCATCAAGCTTTTGTTCTTCTGTCTCTATTGGTCTAAACAGGTTGTATCTTATTGGATTTTATTATGTACGATAGTATAAGCAAAAACTTTTAAAGACAAGGAGATTATACAGAAACCATTGTTCATTTTCTGTTAGTTGATTCTAAATACCCTGTAATGCTGTCACTCTCTTAAATGGTTTTACATTGTTTTGATATATTTGATGCTACAGTATACGAAGTTATACTCAA